GGCGTCATTCAGATAGTCCTAACATGACAAATGACATTTTATTTTAAAACGAGATACTTCCATTTATCATAAATGGAAAACCAAACCAAAACAGCAGCAAAACAAGTTAAGGCTGATAGTGACATAATAAACATTTGACTAATAACCCAGCCACTAACATTTGGAAGGAAATTGAAGGCCAGCTAGACATAACCTTAATTTATTTTTGCATTTTTATCATATCTTATCTATGACAGTATTTAATATATGGTCAGTCTTACATGAGTTAACTGACCTGAGTCTCTAGAGAATCTTGCACCTTCAGTAAATGATCAATTTTGTCCAGTAGCTCTATTTTTTCCTTCTTTAGTGATTGAATCTCAAACTTTTCCTCTTCTTGTAGGGCAATAATCCTCTGTTCGCAGGTCTCTGACGTGGCAACCAGCAAGCTTTTCAAAGGCTCCAACTCTCGGATTCGGTTTCGCAGGTGAGCTGATGTAGAAAAACAGTAGATGTTGCTTGATTTAAGACAGGAACTGAAGGGAAATTTAAATATTTTGCCAATTAAACAAGAAGGAGAGTTTCAAAAACAATTAGTATGGTCATTAGCTACACTGAATTTAAGGAACAACATATTTAGTGGAAAAAACCCGACTGCCTTATTGCCTTCAATTCAAGGTATTTGGTGAAGGTGGTGATGTAATTATTAGCTTTTCCTCCTCTAAACTTAAAATCTGTAACAAATGCAAAAAAACCTTATCAATTTGCAAAAAATTGGGAATTTAAATTGGTTGGAGAAGTCTTTGTCTTAAAATTTAAAAAAATCCCACGGTCTTAACTTCAGATAATGGGATAATGTTGCATTAAAATTCTACAAACATGAGCATTTTATCAAATCTAACACAGGTTAGATGACACCTTCATCCTCAGAATGATTTATTGTATCTACATCAGTTCACCTAATTGTCTTCTCAACTTTTCACCAAACATTTATTTTCCTGTTTGAAGTAATTTTTCAAAAAATAAATAAATCATTCTGTAATGGAAAACATATAAATCTAGCACATTGAAGGAGGTCTGGCTGCCATAATTCTTTGCAGTTAGTTCCCACATCAGGAAAAGGAATACATAGTCAAATGACAACATAGTCAAATCTGATCCTGTCTACACCATAAACAAAGATACAAGGAGGAGTTTCAATGCATAAGTACATGAGTAGGAACCCCAGCAGATCTTCCCTTATGAAATGTGGAAGACAAGGTTTAATTGATGAGATTCTCTACTGCCCTGGCTAAATCCAGTTCACTCAGCATAGACACAAGACATTTCTTATGATTAAAGTTCAATTACTTCTTTCTGGTGAATAAAAACAAAACTGAGGCACAGGGATAGTGTTGTTGGCAGGACTTTTGAAGAAAATTGTAAGTGATCTTTAAGCAAAAGTTTTACTTAGCTACAGCATAGTTCATTGAATTAAAATTTTCAAACTAAGATGAACAATTGATCAGTCAACAGCTATTTGGTGCTTAACAAAGAGATTAATTTACAAAAGGAGTTCACTGATGATTAAATGTTTCTAATTTTTAAAATTTACTCAGCATCTAAAAGCACGGCACAGATTCCATCGTGAGTGGCCGAAAATTACTTACCTATGGTAATTTCATATTCATTCTTTATGGCTGATAGCAATGGTTTGTAGGTTTTTAAATCCTCAATGAAATATTCAAAAACCTCACGATAAGCCTTTGTGTAAAGCAGAATAAATAATATCTTAGCAATGACAGGCAAGGGTCTGAGCCAAAACCTCAGTATGTAATATAATCAATAATAACACTCAGAAGAGGCTGTACAGAAATAATTTTACACTTACATACCAACTTCAGCTATGCTGTACTTACTCTAAATATTCTGGGTTCTTGCTTTAGTCCTTGTTCAAGAAATTAATATCAGTGTGAACAAAGAAGCCCAGTGCCCTGCAAATGCATTCATTTTGGTACCAAATACTAAAAAGGTTCCAAGAGGGTTAAGTCTGTTATATCACAGACCTAGAAGCTCTTGCTCTGCAGTATTCTTTTCACACCAATCACCTGCTGCATTATGTCTAACACAGCCACTCATGAGCTGCATGCTGGTTCTCAGTTTCACACTGGCATCTAATTATCAGTTATTCTTGCAATTACTGGTCTTTGGAACCATGCTTTGTGCAGTTTTTAAAAAAAAGATATATTTCTTTGCAAGATACAGCAAAAGTAGTAGACATGTTAATTATTCCTGGAACTGTTTCAGGTAGCAATCTACCAAAAGTACACAATTAATCACAGGGGACAAGTATTGGAAAGCAATTGGTCTGTATTTGAAAAAGCAGATGCAGAGTTTGCAAAGGCAATGGCATCATTGTAAATAGCACACATGGAAAAATTGGTTAAATTTACACGAATGGAATTTTGTCCACTTCATCAAGGAGTAGTACTCAGCAATATTAAGCCAATATCACACCTGGGGAAAATAAAACAATTTCACAGAATATCTAACTAAAATAAAATGAGAGCATTTTGTAGGAACTAGTTTCATACTATCAGTAAATCCATTATATATTTACAAATGGCCAGTTGTGGTCTATTTACTAATCATAATGGCCACACATCTGTAATTTTATTCCCTATATTTTCCCTACTCTTGCTGAGATAGAGTTCTATAGATTTAAAACTTTGAGTGAACTTTGAAATCTGTCGTAGTTTATATGGTACAGAAGCTCCAAAGGGAATGCCAATAGGGGACTGCATATTTGTGGGGTATCGCAGCCAAGCTCAATTCCATCCTAACCAAATATTCACACTCCAGTATGGTTAACTAGATATAATTAAAATTAGGAACAATTATTGATTTTTCTCCGTAAAGGTAAAGTCACCATAGTCTCAGAGGCTGCTCACTCATTAAAGAGAGATGACCGGTGCTGGTTTATCCTGAGGGCCACCATGTCTCAGGTGAGGGGAGAGGTTGAGAAGGAAAGTCCTTCGTGGTTACCTCTGCTAGAACAGGAATTGAACCCACACTATTGGCATCATTTTGCATTGGAAACCAGCTGTCCAGCCAACTCAGCAATGGTGTATTGAAGGGATTACGTTTTTTTTTTCAAAACCACTCAGAATGCATCCTCTTCCTCTAACTCCCTATAAGAGAGTAAGAACACTCATCGAAGGCAAAGAGCAGCTGCTGAAAGCAACACTCAATACCAACTTCCTGCTCAGAAGAGAACACTATAAATCCTCCTCGTGGTTTGTGAGACCAGACACTCAAGAACCCATTTCTCTAGGAAATTACTATAGAAATGATCCCTAAGAGTATAGTCTTATTGATGTATTGAAGTCAATTATACATCCCCTACTGTCACGGTTCCTGAGATCGGATAATTTGACAACAGAAAATTCTTTTAAAACGATATTAGGAGTAATGTGGACCACTTAAAACTACAAATGGTGCTATTATGAAAGAAAATAATAAAATAACAGACATATTTAAGATATTGCTAGGGTTCTTGTGGCACAGTGATAGTGTCCTTACCTCCAAGTAAGGAGGCCTGGGTTCAAGTCCAGTAGGCTGAGGAGTGGCAGATGGAGGTTACTTTAGATAAATGCGAGGTGTTACATTTGGGAAAGGCAAACCAGGGCAAGACTACAGTTAATGGTAGGGCCCTGGGGAGTGTTCCCGAACAAAGAGACCTAGGGGTGTAGGTGCATAGTTCCTTGAAAGTGGAATCACGGGTAGATAGGGTGGTGAAGAAGGCCTTTGGCATGCTTGCCTTCATTGGTTAGTAAGATATTGCCAGGATTGAAGGGTTTGAGCTATAGGGAGAGGCTGAATAGGCTGGGATCTTTTTCCTCTGGAGCATTGGAGGGTGAGAGGTGACCTAATAGAGGCTAATGAAATCATTAAGGGCATGGTTTTTAGCCAAGGTCTTTTTCCCAGGGTAGGGAAGTCCAAAACTAGAGGGCATGGGTTTAAGGTGAGGGGGGAAAGATTTAAAAGGGACCTGAGGGGCAAATGTTTCACACAGGAAGGGTTATAGGAATGGTTTAGAGGGATACGGGCCAAATGCTTGCAAATGGGACTAGATTAGTTTAAGATGGCTGGTCGGTTCAGACGAGTTGTACTGAAGGATCTGTTTCCATCCTGTACAGCTCTGTAAGTCCCAACTACTCAAGAGATGTGTTATAAAATCTCTGATGAGGTTGATTGCGAAAATATCAACATTAAAGATATTGCTTTGCATTAGTGTTTATAGTATAGGAAGAGGTTTGATGTCAGATATCCCAAGGAAACCAGAAATATTGAATCAGAGACAGGAACTCAATGAACTTAACATAAGAAAAATAGCTGTCAAGAAGAATGTAATGGACTAAAAAGTGACATTCCCAGGAGTAGACGGTTTCCATCACATGGCGTCAAAGGAAGTAGGTGAGAATATTACAGATGCCTTAATCTTCCAATGTTGCCCCAATTCAGGAACTATTCCTTTTTATTGTAAAATTGTGCATATTACTCCACTATTTAGCAAAGGTGAGAGATGGAAACTAGGCGATTGTAGACCAGTTAGCCTTACATCTGTTGTAAGGCATTGCTAGAGTCTATAATTACATTTGCAGTGGCCAAATATCTTGAACTGTTTTGATGATCAGGTTTTGTAAAAGATAAGCTATGCCTGACAAACTAGTTAAATTTTGAAGAGATGACTAGAGCAGTGAATGTTTATGGGAGTTATTTATATGGACTTCATGAAAACACTTGATTACACCTCTCACTAGACAGTATTAAGTAAATTTAAAGTTCATGAATTTGAGGGCAAATTACTGACTTGGTTAGGAGACTGACTGAGTGGCAAGACATAGGACGTAGACCGAAGAGACTAAATGCATTATTCCTGTCCCAAATGTTCTGTGGATAGCAGGAATGCATAGCTTTTAGGTTTGTCTGTTTCAGCTACTCCCTTGATATCTTTTACACCTACCTGAGCAGCCAAGGGATCTCGAGTTTAATGTCTCATCCAAAAGACAGCACTACTAAGTTTTTTTTTCTGAAGAAGGGTCCGGACCCGAAACGTCAGCTTTCCTGCTCCTCTGATGCTGCTTGGCCTGCTGTGTTCATCCAGCTCTACACTGTGTTATCTCACTGCTAACAGTGTGGTGTCTTTTCGGTACTGCATTAGAATGTCAGCCTTTATTTATGCGCTCAAGCCTGAGATTTGGGCTAGAACCAGATAGTTTAGAGGCGAGTGTACTAATAACTGAGTCACAGATACTACAGTACGTTGCCCTCATGTAAACTACAATGAACTATTAGGGGAGTTTGTAATTTAATAATTACATATTGTCTTCAAACCTCTGCCTTTCGTTTCCGCTTTATTGTCATTGTCAAGTAGCAGGATGTGATAGTTCTCTCATAATCGCTCCATCTCATTTGACAGAATTGCTAATTAATCAAACGGGCACATTTTTTTCATTTCAGAAAACATTCTTTACATTGAATGTGCAGCTGTCTTATTACTTGTTACTGTTAATAAAAAAAAAAACTTTTGTTTGGAACAGTCACAAAGGGAGACAAGTCTCTTTCTTCTGCACGTTCCAGAGCATCCACTTCTTTGGCATTAGTGAAAAGGTTCTCTTTCTTGCAGATATTGTGATGGGCTTCACTTGTTTTTAAATTTTTAATTGTAGCTAGTTTAACACATATCAATGGAATAAAAACTCGATGTGCAATTGAGACATTTGAGTTGACAGCAATTTAGCACGTACAATTGTATTCTGGGCAGGTGTGGGGAATGAGAAGAAAATTAGTGTTATCGTGAGAAAAATAATTCATTAGTTTAGTCTTTTTAAATGTGTCATTTTCCTCAGTGTCCTCTCCTTTCTTGATATTTGCTGACATTGATAGGATGTGATACGTTTTGGTAGCTCTTCAGCTAAATAGTCATACTCCACTGGGAGATGACTTTAATAGATTAGTTGGAGTGATGAACCTTAGGAAGCAAACAAGAATAGAGACTCCTTCCGACATTCCTTCCATTCTGGAAAGTAATAAAGATTGTATTTATAAAATTCTCCAGTGATTTTTATTCCACCTGCTTATTTGGGTGACTGTATATTTTAATTTTTTTAAATTAACAGGAGGAGACTGAAACTCAATTCCATGCTACACATACCATTTACTAATTGAGGCAAAGGAATGAAGAAATGTAACTGTGTTTAAAAATGTTGAAACCTGGTTCTTTATGAAATCAGATGCAGATGTGCCAGATTAATTGCCTCTTAAATCAATGGTAAACCCATGCACTTATATATAACAAACATTCAACCACATATCAGAAGAAGTTTTAAACACACTTGTAGGTTTACTTCCTGAGCGTTGGGCCCACTTAAGTCCAAGACTTGGAGCTCTTTCCTTAGATGTGTTTCCAGCTGTTGCAAAAATCGAGGTTTTGGAGCACTGTTCGTATTTGTAATATCAAATCTATAGGTTCAAACAAACAAAGAAGTGTTTTGTTTTTAAAAAAGTTAAGCATTTGCTCCATTGTAGTCCAGCTCACCTGGGTCACCTTCCTTAATATATAATGGAACAGCAGACAAATACAGCAGTTATACACATTATATAATTTATAAATTATTGTGAATGAGAATTTTTAAAAATTTTTAATGCATTTTCTTTTGGTAATTATATCCCCAGATATTGCCCATTTATTTACCTCTGTTTCACCAAGCATGAAGCTCATACATAAGTGGTCTTTGGCACTGGGGATCAAGAAAAATCATTGGTGACATTTTAAAATTGTAAATGATGATAAAAGTATTTCAGCGCAATTCTCTGCCAGAGAGCACAATGCAGAGGAGAAGAGTTCAGACTCTAAAATGGAATAAGCTTACACTGACGATTAACAGCAATCCAAGATGACCAGCCAACTGCAAAAGATTATCAAGATAAGGTTGAGAGATTAGCAGATCGCAAGCAGAGGGATTCTTCAGGAAGGGTGTTCACAGTTGGACTGCTGTTTTCATCTACAGAACAAAAAAATCCCTTACAAACATGTATTTTCAAAAAATACATTTGGATGTCAGTGTGGCTGACTCAGCTAGCACTTGTTGCACATCCCTAACTACCCTTGAGAAGGTTGTAGTGAGCTGTCTTCTTGACCGCTGTCCATTTGTTTTAGGTAAACCCACAATACCATTAGGAAGTGAGTTCCATGATTTTGACCCAGTGATACTGAAGGAATGGCAATATATTTCCAAATCAGCATGGGGAGTTGCTTGGAGAGGACCTTGTAAATTGTAGTGTTCCCATCTATTTGCTGCCCTTGCCCTTCTAGACGGTAGCGAGTGTGTGTTTGAAAGGTGCTGTCCAAGCAGCTTCGATGAATTTCCGCAGTGCATCATATAGATGGTACATGCTACTGCTTTTGAATGTAGCCAATGGAGGGATGAATGTTTGCGGATGTGGTGCCAATAAGCAGGCTGTTTTTCCCTGCATGGTGTCAAGCTTCTTGAATCTTTTTGGAGCTGCACTCATCCAAGCAAATGGGATGTTTTTCCATTACACTTCTGACTTGTAGAGGGTGGATGGGTTTTGGGGATTCAGGAGGTGAATTACTTGCTGCACAGTTCTTAGTCCCTCTTTTGCTGTTGCAGTCACAGTAGATATATGGCTGGTCCAGTTCAATTTCTGATCGATGGTAACCCCAGGATGTTCGTAGTGGGGGAGTCAGTAATGCCATTGAATGTCAAGGACACTAAATTAGATTCTCTTGTTAGATATAGTTATTGCCTTGCACTCTGTGGCGCAAATGTTACTTGCCAATTCTCAGCCCAAACCCGGATATTTTCCGGGTCTTACTGCATATGGAGTTTTTCCCTGGATTTCCATTGACTGCAATTTTGCCAGCACTCCTTGATGCCACATATCATCAAATATAGTCTTAATGTCAAAGACGTGACTCTCACCTTGCTTTTGGAATTCAACTCTTTTGTCCATGTTTAAACTAAGGCTGCAATAAGATCAGGAGCTGAATGTTCCTGGCAGAACCCAAACTTAGCATCAGTGAGCAGTTATTATTAAACAAGTACTGTTTGATAGCATTGTTGACGATGACTTCCATTGCTTTATTGATGACTGAGAGTAGAGTGATGGAGTGGTAATTGGTCAGGTTGAATTTGTCCTATTTTCTGGACACAGGACTTAACTGAGCAATTTTCCACACTGTCTGGTAGATGCCAGTGCTGTAGCTGTACTGGAACAACTTGTCTAGGGGCACAGCAAGTTCTGCAGCACATAGCTTCAGTACTGTTGTTGGAGTGTTGTCAGGAATCGTAGCTTTTGCAATATCCAGGGTCTCCAGTGGTCTTTTGATATCACATGGGAGTGAAGCAAATTGGCTTCAGACTGGCACCTGATGTTGGAGATCTTTGGAGGAGGTCAAGATGCATTATCTATTTGGCACTGTTGGTTTTAAGATTGTTGCAACTACTTCAGCCTTATCTTTTGCACTGATGTGTTCAGTTGCCCCACATTAAGGATGGTGATATTTCTGTAGTCTCCTGCTCCTGTGACTTGTTTAATTGTCCACCCACATTCGCAACTGAATGTGGTGGAACTGCAGAGCTTGGATCTGGTCAGTTGGTTGTGGAATCACTTAGCTCTGTCTATTATTTGTTGCACAAGCTGTTTGGCATGCAAATAGTCTTGCTTTGCAGCTTCACCAGGTTGACACCTCATTTTGTAGATCTGCCTAGTGCTGCTCCCACATACTTCATTGAACCAGTATTGATCCTCTGGCTTAATTTTAATTGTAGAGAGGATGATATGGTGGGCAATGAGGTTACCGATGGGTTGAGTACAAAATAGGCCAGACCAGGTAAGGATGGCAGTTTCCTTCCCTAAAGGACATTAGTGAACTAGATGGGTTTTTCCAACAATCGACAATGGATTCATGGTCATCATTAGACTCTTAAATCCTGATTTTTAATTGAATTCAAATTCCACCATCTGCCACAGTGGGATTTGAACCCAGGTTCCCAGAATTATCTGGGTCTCTGGATTAACAGTCCAATGATAATACTACTAGGCCACTGCCTTCCTGGATGCCTTTCTTGAGTTGCTAGATATGTTCTAAGTCTATCCCATTCAGGACTGTGTTAGTGCCACTCAACACAATAGAGAGTATCCTCAATGTTATTGGCTCCCTCACCAGGAGATGCAGATCCAGTCTACCAGCTATGTCTTTTAGGACTTGGCCAGCTCAGAATTTTTGCTGAGCCACTCTTGGTGATGGACATTGAGGTCCCCTACCCAGATTGGGTGTATGATCTGCGCCCTTGCCGCCTTCTGTGTTTCTTCCAAGTGGTGTTCAATATGGAGAATTATTGATTCATCAGCTGTGGAGGTTAGCATACAGTAATCAATAGGAGGTTTCTTCGCCCATGTATTTACTGCTGTAGCTAAAGTTATGAACCTAGGTGTAACAATTAACAACCAATTGCATTAAAACACCTATTAGAGGGTCCATGGTTGCAGACTGAGTTTTCAGATCATTTCTGAAGTAAAATAATATGCCAGAAACTTATACATGAAAATAAACAAAAACTATTTGATCAGTTTATTTACAAACTCAGAGAAGCTTGAGGTAAAGCAAAATATTATACTGCACTTCTTTTGATTATGCTTTGTGAAGCACATTGACGAAGTTTTCTATAGCAAAGACGCCAAACAAATGCAATTTGTTCAATAGCAAGATATCAAAGTTTAAAAGAATGAACTGAACTGATGTTTGACAAATTAAAACACAAAGCTTAAACTTTTCGGTTGATGATTTAATGATATGTATTAGCTGTGATGGATCATTTTTGTAAGCATTCTTTGTGCTGCAGAAGCCAGCATTCAGGGCACTCAGTTTTAAGGGGCTGTTAGCATTTAGTTGTTTCATAAGATTAGTTACATGAAATTCTGCCTAGAAAAAGAGTGGGGTTAATTGCAAGGTTTTTAATAGGTCACTCAGGATAGTTCAACAGTCACAGAAGAGGAGTTCAAACGTCAGAGGCAGTTAGATGCAGACTCCAGGTTGGTAGTGCTGCTTTTAGCTATACTACTGGGAAGGCAACTGATCTAAATAGGTTATCTGATTCAATGAGAAGTCATGAGCAGTTGGATATTTCTGTGTTGTTACAACTCGGAACGAAGTTCTAGGAGTTAGTGGACAGCTTAGAGTCAGGGCTCTAGAAATGTCCTGGGATCTCTGTGGCCTCAGAAAAACAGTGTGTCACTAATTGCTCATACAGCTCAGAAAGGGAGTTAAAAAGCCTAAAAGTAGTATTTGCTTGAGACAACTGAGCAAGAGTGGATCTCACGGAAAACCCAGTGGCAGTTGCAGCTTGTTAAAGCCAGCTGTCAGTGAAAAGCTGGAATTGTGCCTGTGAATAAGCACTGGAGCGCTGTTTCAGAATCTAGGGTAACACAGACCCAGAAAAGAGGGTGATTGATTAGAACAAGAGCTATTTACAAGATCCCTTTCCTCAATGTGACAGTTGAGAAATCTGCCAAAGCGTTCGCTACTACTATATACTGAACGTCTATTTTCACTAGTCACTGCTGTAAATGTGAAAGGATTCCTACCAGTCCACGGGCTACTAGATTAACTTTATCAGCAATCTTGTGAGTAGGGAGCTAACCATCTGTTTGCCAGTTGCCTTCCCAGCTGTACATCTAAAAACAGCGCTACCTAACATGGAGTCTATATTGTGTAAGCTTGATACTGAGAAAGAGCATATCAAAACAATCCTGTTTGATAACGGCTACCCTGATCAAATCATCATTTCCGATATATTGCACAAACTCACAAAAGGGCCTATGACCACCACTTCTGCTTTGAGTGATGCCTAGTCCATCCCAGATAACCTAGAAGGGGAGGGTATCTCAAAAATTTGAACTGGTAAAGCTAGCTGTCTCACACTGCCACTTTGCAGTAAACAGGAGTGGTTTCTACGCCACAAAAAGGATGCCGTTCTCAAGTCAAAAATACTTTTTTCCTACCATACAAATGAGTGACGAGAGTTTCAGTGCCAAATGACAGACAGGTTATATCAAATAATACACCTCTCTGACAATTCTCAGCAGGTAGTGTACAACTGTGCTCAACAAACCCATGCTTCCTAGGCTTAGAACACCATGTCCAACATTAGATATGAATCTGCTTTTGGACAACATTTATTAAATGATCTTGGACTGCGCTAAGAATTGTACCAGAAACCAGTTTAAGATCATCAGTTTGGCTCACAGTCTGATGCATTTGCGCATGCTAAAAGCTACATATATTGACACACAGGAGCTTGTTCTATTTAAGTGACAGACATTTGTTGATACAGTGTGCCTTGTCCATGAGAATGGGGTAATGGAATATGCCAACTCTTGCTGCACTCCCTGTGGTAATATGCTGACCTATCAGAGGTGGCCTGGTCTGGGTTTTTCAGTTAGGATTTACAGTTAACAGCTCTTACCACATCTCCATGCCAACCATAGTCCAACCAAACAGCACCCTCAGTTTTTTTGCAGTAGAGACTGGTATTCCCTTTCCGAATTTGGTTTCTCGCACATCAGTCATGATGACAGCAAGAGGAAAAGTGACTCTTGATCTATAGTTCTGCAAATTAAGCATGTGTTTTGACCACAGGTATTGGACATCAAACAAGCGCTCAACTCTGTCCTCACCAGATACCTATATATACATCCTTACTTATTGACTGGAAAGTCAACATCTACATGATAAAATTATTCCTGACAGGCTGCAAAAACCTGGGTTGGAATCCCTCAAATTTAAAACTAAATAAACATTTGACACAGGAAGCAGAGACAAGTTGTTTCCTCTTGTCAGGTTACCCAGAATAAGAGGACACATTTTTTTTTTCCAATTAGAACTGAATAACCCAGGAATTAAATGATTTTTTTTCATTAGAAACATATTGGAAATGTGGAAATACCTCCACCACAAGATTGTGAATGTTGGTGCAATTAACCTGTTCAAAATCAAGATCAACAATTAGGTCACTCATATTTCTTACGTTCTTATGTATCAAGGGATGTGGATTAGAACATAGAACAGTACAGCACAGTACAAGCCCTTCGGCCCACGATGTTGTGCTGACCTATTATCCTACTAGGATCAATCTATCCTGCATACCCTACATTTTACTTTCCTCCATGTGCCTATCCAAGAGTCACTTAAAAGTCTCTAAAGTATCTGACTCCACTATCACTGCCGGCAGCACACTCCACACACCCACCACTCTGTGTGAAGAACCTACCTCTGACATCTCCCGTATACCTTCCTCCAATCACCTTAAAATTACACCCCCTCAAAATAGTCATTTCCACCCTGGGAAAAAGTCTCTGACTATCCACTCTATCTATGCCTCCCATCATCTTGTACACCTCTATCAAGTCACCTCTCATCCTTCTTCGCTCCAATGAAAAAAAGCCCTAGCTCCCTCAACCTTTCCTCATAAGACCTGTCCTCCAGTCCAGGACAGCATCCTGGTAAATCTCCTCTGCACCCTCTCTAAAGCTTCCACATCTTTCCTATAAGGAGGTGACCAGAACTGAACACAATATTCAAGATTGATGGGTAAATGTTGTTGCGGTAAGAATCAGCCATTATTAAATTTAACAGAGAAAAAGGCTCAAGGGGCAGAATTCCCATCATCTGAGTGGAAATCCTGGATGTTGTTTTGCTGCCGTAGCACCTAATACTCCCTAAAGCCAAAATGAAAACAGACTCGAATTGGATCTGATCGGTTCCATGCTAGAGTGGGCACTGCTTAACAGAGGAACTCCAATAGCATATCATTTATCCTCCCACATACAATTTTATATCAATATCTTCCTATTATAAACTTTAACAGATTCCATGATCATAGCTGTTTCTTACCCATGGTATCTCTTGACATTTGATGGTTGAAACGTTTGTTTTTGTTGAACAATCTCTCCACCGACGTGTCCAGGCCAGTTGGACAGGTATCCATCGTTCTTTTCAACACTTGGCTGCATAGCATTGGAGTGCAAGATCAGAGTGTTTACTTTAGAAAATGCATACTTTTTAAAAAATCTCTTCGTACTGAAGAACTTCAAAAAGGGAAAAAATACAAACTTTCTGTGCAGGTATCAAATTCCCCTTGTTCCTCTTTGCTGCTCAGGTAATGAGCCAGATACAGGCTATGATGACCTATTACATAGGTCAGAGACATCATAAAATTTGCAAGAAAAATGAGGAGAAAGTCAACTTTACATAACCTCGGTATATAATTCAAATGACGCAAAAAGTGATCAAGGAATCTGACCAGGAAGGAACACAGTCTTATCTGGGAATAAAAGTCCATAGCAAAATGCAATAAATTTATCACTGTAATGTAAACCATGCTATGATTAGAGAAAAGCAATTCGGTCTTACTTTTCTCATAATCCTATTGAGGTTTATACGGAGTTTTGCAATATCCCTAAAAGTATGTTTTGTTCAGATGTCAGCTGTCTTATACTGTATCGTGAATGCATATTTTAGGTTTGCAGATAATATTTTTCTAGGGCTATTTAATCAAAATGCTTACCAATAATTGTTTCTGTGGAAGATGGTATTTTACATCACTACCTTGTAGCTGATATGTCAGACAGGGAGGTGCAAGGTCATTTGCATTTAATTTTCTCGTCTCTCTACAATTAAAAAAAAAACATAATCTTATATGGTAATAAATTGTAAATTATATTTTCTTTAGAATGGATGTCTAAATATCTAGAGGGACAGAATTGAAAAGCAGAAAAGTTACATCAGGAGTAGTTGAAGTGCCTCATACTAATGAGATTAGAAATAAGAGAACAGTCCATTGGAATGCATTTTGGATGTTGCAGGAGGGAGACATTTCAATTCTTGAAAACATTGGAACTGCTTCTGGGGATTTCAACTCTTGAAACATTGGAACTGCTTATGGGGATGATGGGATTTGCACAATTTGAACAGCTAACATCCCAGAAGGACTGGTATCAATTTTTCACAGGCATTTGCTAGTACAGTAAGGAAGGTTTACACTGGAGTGGTAGGAAAACAAGCCCCTAAGTGGGAAGATGAGAGATGGAAACAAAAATGGAAATGAAAGATAGAAAAGTAGAAAGCAAAAATGGAAGACAGAGGAAACAAAGTCACGAGGTGAAAAGATTGGTGTACAAATACATTTGTAAAAAGGCATTATATCTGAATGCAAAAAAGTTGATGAATTAACAGTGCAAATAGTTATAAATAGGTACAATATGATGATGATCTCCCCTGTCCAGGAGTCCAGAACAAGGGACCTCAAGATGTTATTTTCACTGAGATTATGAGAAATGTTTTCATTCTGAGGGTGGTGAACCTGTGGAATTCTCTATCACAGAAGTTCGTGGAAGTGAGTGACTGATAGTATTTAAGAAAGAAGTAGATTTCTAGAAGTGAAAGGGGTATGTGGAGTGAGCAGGCAAATGGTGTTGAGATAGAAGGTCAACCATTATCATGTTGAATGAAAAATGGGCTCAATGGGACAAATTGCCTACAGCTGATCCTTTTTTCGCCATTTCTAGGTATAATTCCTTGTTAATTCTTGAATTATGCTCTGTCCTACACTGTAGCCACTATCAGGGGTCACATAAACTTGAAACTACTCCCACCTGGGACTTCCTTATTTCCACCCAAATGGATTCTACATTGGATCCTCTGAATGAAGATCATTTCTCTCTATATTGATCTCCTCCTCTATGAACAGAAGCACCACAGTTACTTTACTTCTCTTTCCATCCTTCTCAATATCAAATATCCTTGGATATTCAGGTCCCAGCTGTGGTCAGTCTGGAAACTTTTTTTTGTAATGATTATTGCATCAATCTCCTTTCGATTTAACAATCTCATTATAACTATGAAGGGTAGACATAGGAAATTATTTCCACTTCTTGGCAAGACCAGTATTCGGAGGCATAAACAAAAGATACTAATTAATAAATCCGAATTGGAATTCAGGGCATACTTCTTTATCCAGAAAGTGGTTAGAATGTGGAAGTTGTTACTGTTGTGAGTAATTGAGATGGCTAGCATAGGTGCACTCAAGAGACAGCAAGGTAAGCAGACAAGGGAGGAATGAAAAGAAAGACATGTTAATATGGTTGGATGACAATGTGGGAGGAAGCTATTTGATCTCAAGTCCATGCTGTTTCTCCTACAAAGCAGTCAGTCCTGTTCCCAAAGCCTTGCAAGTTTATTTCCCCTCAAATGCCTGTCCAATTTCCTTCTGAAATAATTGATCATCTCCACCTCAACATTCTCATACACAGCAAGACCCAGGTCATCCACTCAAGTGTAAAAAAAGTTTCTTTTTCATATACACCTTACATCTCTTGTCCAAATCCTTAAATCTAAGTCCCTGAATACTGGTACAATCACCTATTAGGAACTTTTCTTTGCCTGTGTTCTACAAGCTGTTGCAGAGGATGAAATCCAAGACAGTAATGAAATGCTGCTGGAGATGAATCAAGAATGAAAAATGCTGTTTGCTGCTATTTAAATGCAAAGAGATGTTGATGAGTGATACTGCAGACTGGCTAATCACAAGGTCCAGGACTATGTGCTGAGGGTTGCATAAAAACTTGGGCAAGCTTGCTAGAAAGGTGCAACAACTGATTGTAAGTACATTGAGAGTTTGGGGATGAGAAAATATTTTAGGCTATATGTTTGACAGGTAATGATTCTCATAAATATTGTTATAATAATAAATTTTAAAATTAATATACAGAATTGGAAGCAGTCAAACTGAAACAAAGAGCTGTGGGTTCTGGAGATCTGAAACAAACTGAAATTGCTGGTAAAACTTAGCAGGTCAAGCACATCTATGGGGAGAAAGCAGAATTAACGTTAAGTCCAATGACTCTTCAAATGAGGATAAAGAATCACCAGACCTGCTGAGTTTTGCCAGTAATTTCTGTTTCTGTTATTGGAAGAAACTGATTCAGTTTGCGCCTTAAGTTCAGTAATATCAACGTTAAATAGTCATCTGATGCACTTTGTGTGAAAATGTATATTTTTGTCAAAAAAGTTCTGGAGTGGATTAAAACAGACCGCTCTGACTCAGAGGCGAGAATGCTCATGGTTGAGCAAAGTGCGATACCCGAGTTATGCTGAAGCCACTTCTCAGATACCGAGAACATGACAAATCAACCTCAGACAGTATTCTGACTCTTAATTGCTATCTACTGATCCCCATTGAAATGGCACGCATCGTTTTGATGTGAGAAAAGTACTCAATCCGGTGGCAACGCTGTGCAGGAAAATAATCAGCCACCACTCGGTAATAGGGATACAAGGAAGAATACTTGTCCACGATAACACTCAACACTGGAGCATCATCCAAGGATGCATTCTCAGCCACCTACTGTACTCCCTGTACATCCATGACTGTGTTGCCAAATTCCGAATGAACGCCATCTACAAGTTTGTTGATGACATCACTGTGGTAGGATAGATATCAGTGACAAGTCAGAATACAGCAAGGAGATAGAGGGCTTGGTGACATAGTGCAACGAGAACAACTTCTCCCTCAACATCAGAAAAACTAAAGAACTGATCAATGACTTCAGAAAGAAGGGAGGAGAACACGCCTGCATCTACATCAACAGAGCTGAGGATGGAGAGTGTCAAGTTCCTAGGAGTGACAATAACTGACAACCTGTTCTGGACTTCCCATGTAAATGTGACATTCAAGAAGGTACAACGATACCTCTTCTTCCTCAGGCGGTTCAGGAAATTGGCATGTCCACAAGGTCTCTCACCAACTTTTACAACTGCACCATTGAAAGTATACTGTTTGGGTGCATACCAGTCTGGTATGGCAACTGCTCTGCCCAGGATTCTAAGAAACTACAGAAAGTTATGTGCACAACCCAGACTATCAGGGAAGTCAACCTTTCATCCATGGACTCCATTTATATGGCCCGTTGCCACGGAAGGGCTGCCAACATCATCAAAGACCCATTGCACCCTGGCAATGTTCTCCTACAACCTCATCCATCAGGCAGAAGGTACACAAGAACTAGGAGCAGGAGTAGGCCGTCTGGCCCTTCGAGCCTGCTCCGCAAATGAAACTTGAACACACACACCAGTAGGTTCAAGAACAGCTTCTTCCCTGCCATTATTAGATTGATGAATGGACTCTCTAACTTCAAGTAATGCTGATCTTGCTAATGTTGTTCTTGCAAAGCACACACCCTGTGCAATGTAACCTGTATGCCTGTCCAAGTTTTTTGTTCACCCTACGATCTGTATCCTTACTTACTATGATCTGCCTGTACTGCTCGTAAACAAAGCTTGAAGAACTTTACAGATCAAAATAAATATTTCCTGCAGAAAGATACAGTATACATATTGTGCGAAGGAGAATTGCGCGCATGCTCAAACAAAAAAAATCTGATTTAGGTACCACCTTTAAAAAGGACCACGACTTAACAAAAACTAGGACAAAATGAATTATTATGGGGTGAATTATATACAAGTCGCACGGGATAAAAAGTAAACTTTCCCACGCAGAAACTGTCAACTGTTATTTCGGAAGCGGCTTTTCAGCCACGAACACGAGCAACTATAGGTTGAAAAACTATTGGGATGGCCACCGGGAACTTGGCGATGCAAGCCGCAGAGGCTGCCTCTCTTTCCTGGCCTGGCCGAGCTCAGCTGCGCCTCCGCTCTCGCCTATTGAAGCCTCACCCCTGACTCGGGAGACCCTGTGTTTTGTCGCAGCAGCCAAAGCCGGTGAACATGATTAACCGAGTGGCGACGGATCGCAATCTCCCTGTATATAGCCCATCACCATGGTGACAGCTCAAGGTCCCTGACGGATAGGACCCTGCCTGTCCTTTCCGGTGCCTGACACAGGAAAGGGGTAGCCGCCTCTCACCGACCGGGCACAGAACATTATACATAGAATATAGAACATTACAGCGCAGTACAGGCCCTTCGGCCCTCGATGTTGCGCCGACCTGTGAAACCAATCTGAAGCCCATCTAACCTAAACTATTCCATTATCATCCATATGTTTATCCAATGACCATTTAAATGCCCTTAAAGTGGGCGAGTCTACTACTTTTGCAGGCAGGGCATTCCACGCCCTTACTACTCTCTGAGTAAACCAGAAAAGGTTGAAGGATTTTACCTATGACTTAAAATTGCTTTATCCTACCTCAAATAAACAGATTATTAATTTGACCTCAAACGAGTAACCTTTCGGAATACCGTTACCGGTGATTGACAGGGCACGGTTTCCCCGACCGGGAACAGAACCGAGGGTTTGTTAAAGTCACACATTCAGTCCGCCTGGTAATTATGGAAGCTAGAGTGTCTTTTGTCCCAAGTTTGCAAGGACACCTCACCCGACCTCTACCTTACACTCGGTAAAAGTGCAGCGACTCCTCTCGACCATTTCCTCCCCTCTCTTTATCCTCGACTTCTGACAGTTTGGATCGGGACTACAACGCCCAGCGTCCCTGACGCTGACGAGACGCCATCTCACTCCTTACATCATCACGTTCGCGTTTTGCTAACAGCCAATCTGTTGCCGAGGCAGCCGCCGTATTGACGCGTGGCTCCGTTGCCGCAGCGCCCGCCGGGGGTTGTAGTCCAATGCCCAAAGGCCGGCGCTTAGTGGCAGCAGAGACTGGACTGCAATCCCCGTGAGCTTTAGCGCTCCACCCCCTCTACCCGCGGCCACAAGATGCGCGGCAGCCAATCAGCTGCCAGTATAATACGTTCGTTATCCGGGATATATACACAATAGGATGCAAGATGGCCGAGTTTGGAGCTTCAAACCACGGGGATTCAGCTCTGAATTACCAAGAAAAAGAGTTAAACGAGAGATTGAAGCGCTTGTATCCGGCTGTGAACGAAGATGAGACTCCACTGCCTCGATCGTGGAGCCCGAAGGACAAGTACAACTACATCGGATTGTCACAAAACAATCTCCGTGTTCATTATAAAGGTAGTCTCGGTGGAATAATGTAGGTTAATCCTGTGGAAAAAAAGGGTAACCGACGTATGATTGTGTTGTGAATAAGTGATTTTTTTTTTTCCTGCCCATTTCAGAGGTGCTGGTTGGTATCGTGACAAGTAACGATCTTAATGTTAGTCGACGTCATTGATTGATCCGTCTTTAGCTCTTGAAAATGTTCCATTTATTTTAAGATCTTTTAAAATGCAAAACAATGCCCCTTTCCCAAAATACGATTTTCAGTTGTATCCTATTTCTGGCGCTGTGCCCGCTTATTGAAGTGATTAACCGAATGATTTCTGAGGAACAAAGTGCAGATCGTCTCAATGGTGGCAGTGCAGTATCATATTTTGACGTTACTTAAAATAAACAACCCTTTTTTGGCTGAGCTTCTTGTATTGTTTAAAACTATTACATTTGTCTATGGTCATCTGTCGGTGTACTCACTTCTATATACGCGTTTATGGGATATGTATTTATTTAGAGACTCCGATAGTTTGGTCTAAGAAGAAGAAAAGATTTTTTTGTCCCCTTATGGGTCCTCTTTGTTTTAACACTGACGCAATTCCATGGCGAGAACTATTGGCTTTGAATAATTCAGCTGCTAAAATTGTTTTTGCTAAATCAGGTCACGGAAAAAACCACAAAGATGCTGCATCAGTTCGTGCTACGCACCCGATCCCCGCTGCTTGTGGCATATATTACTTTGAGGTGAAGATTGTTAGCAAAGGCAGAGATGGGTAAGTCCATTTCTGTCAACTCTAACATGACGTGACTCTTTTTTTTCATGGCGGTGGACGATTCCTTTAATAATTGCAGCTTTCATTGTTTGCAGATATATGGGAATCGGATTGTCAGCCCAGGGTGTCAATATGAACCGTCTGCCCGGTAAGTCATGGTTGTGAAATTATTGTTGGCATTGAAAGTCTTGGAGACCTAAATGGTTTAAGTGCAAAATAATCATAGCAAGATCAGTTTATTTTGGTTAACGTTTTTCGTTGAAATAGCGTACGCTTACTCTGAATTCCTCTCTGAATGTTCCGATGTCTCGGGTAACCTCTGCATTGTAATTTCTTGTGATTTTTCTCTTTCCCAAACCCGTAAAACTGAAGACGTGGTCACGTGCCTGTTCTTGGTATATTTGTTGACATTATTAGCATATGCTCACGTGTTGGTTGCATGCATTGCGGGGAATTGGTTCAGTCTTTGCAGCAGAGGTGGCTGAAGGGAAGGATTGCATATTTTTATTAAGAGATCAGCACTTGTAGTTTTTTTATGTTTATGTTGATTCAAGGTTTCAAGTGCGATTGCACAATTCTAACTTACAACCCAGTGGTTTTCAAACTCTTTGCCTGAGGGGTCCCATTTCAAATAGATTGATGTGGATGCACACACGTACGTTATATCGGCGTGCTAGAAAACCGCTCTTTTGATGGCTTGCTTCTTCGTGTTTACCTAAATACTTCATAGAAAAACTCTCCTTGCTTAAACAGACAGAACTCCCCTCGTTCCCACTTCAACCTTCATAATTGCAGCTCTACATGACAATCTCCCTGTGGTTCTATACTGGGCTGTGTTCGACCCTCTGTCAGATAAGGTGACCAGGCCACTCTGCTGTGTGCATGAAGGCTGCACCCTGCTTCTGCCTCTTGTTTTGCACAAGGCTTACTTCTGTGTGCTACTTATTTGCTTACAGCTTGATTTTTTTTTTATATAGACGAGCTGGAAGAACTATCCAACACCAGGTTAGGGGACATTGTCCTAAAGAGTTATCCAAACTTATAATATAGACATTCCCACATCGCAAAATGGCATTTTTAAATTTGAACTAACATGCAAATTATTACTTGTGAAATGTTTTTCTTTGCATTGCTATTTGAAAAGTTGTTGGTACATTTTAATTTTGAGATATAAATCAAATAGTTTGGTAAAATGTCTTTTGCAACAGGTGAGAAAAGCTTCATGCTGTGGACAGCTGTCTTTTTATGGTTGATTACAAATCAAGGCCTCCTCATTAATTGTCTTGTGTATTTTTTCCATGAATTGGGTAGTGAGTTTAAATGCCTTTTTGACTAGGAAATTTACAATGGTAGTTCTTCACTTAACACTTCTTCAAAATTCCTTTTCACCACAACGTCAAATATAAAAAGCTGCTAGATAGTGCTTTCTTTCTCCTCTCTTAAAGATGCTAAATCACACTGATTATGATCAATACATGCTGATAGTCATCTCAGATCTTGCCGTAATACTTTTCTTACTGGGATACATTTTGGAAAGTGTTTTCGTCAGGAAGTCAGAATTTGCTTAATTCCACTTCGGCCTTTTTAAAGTATTTTGTTCCGGTTTATTCTAGAAAATCAATTATTTTTGTTTTCCTTGGTTGACCTTTTGTGTGCTGAGATTAGGAGATTAGATATTCCACTTGACAATCATGCCGGTTGAGATCCCCTCAATCAGCATAAGCTAGAGATCAAACCTCAAACTATCCAGATTTTTGAAGGAGCTCACTTGGCTGATTGTATCGGTGCTAGCTCCTAAGTGTTGTCCAACTAGTTCACGTTTGCTGCTCTCTTCCCTTTACTTTTGCAAGTTGAATTGAGTGTGTGTGTGTGAGATTCTAATTCCCTTTTAATCTTGATATTGAATATGTATTGGGCACCATTTCAGACATTGTAGCCTAGATTATAAAATCATGGTAAACGAACTTATCTTCCCAATGATTCTTCTGCCATTGTTTTTCAAATCTGCATCCTCAAAGTGGACTTTTTGCCATTGAAGAAAGTTAATCCTTATTTACTGTATCAAAATCTTTTATAATTTTGAGTAATGGTTCGTCTTCTTTAGCCTTGTGTGCTCTTAGGACAACCTGCACAAAATTGTTTGAACACTAGGATGGTGCATTGACTTGCGTGTTCATTTGCGAAGTTGAAACAGCTTTTATTAGATACAGCAGAGGCCGTTTTGGATACATTTCAATTTTGAGGTGGTCTTGATAATGGGTGTCTAGTTCCTTCTAATGTGGGAAAATATCTCTTGATCTTTTTTACAAGATAGTGAAGAGAATTGCACGAAGTAGACTGAAGTGGAGCTGAGGATTGAAATGATTTTTGAAAGGGACAATGCCAAATAAATTGGTTTCAATGAAGATATTAGAAGCAGGAGCCCTCAAGACATTTAAGAAATATTTTGATGAATACTTGAAATACCAAGACATACGAGATTGTGGGGTAATTGTTGGAAAATGGGATTAGAGTAGATAGATGGATGCTTGATGACTCGCACAGAATGATGGACCATGGGGCTTTTTCCCCACTGTAAAAATCTGATCTCAGATTCACAGGAAATGGCAAAAATAATGCCTGGAAGTTAGGCCCCAGTAAGGGAGAGAGCAGAATTATGAAATCAAAGGAATTAATGATGGAATCTTCAGTGCGCAGCTGGAGGGAGTTGATGAACCTGAAAAACCAAAGACCGACGAACACGTCGGCATTGGTGACCTGGACTACGAATACTCTCTATTATTTGGAATTTAACGAACAATGCATATGGAGCTTTGTTGAAGAATTAAAGTTAGTCTGTTTGTGAGGTAATAAAGTGTATGTTAAGTGCAGAAAGAGGGCGAGTAAGCAGCAGTTAGGTCTAAAAGTGGTGCTTTGACAACAGACTTGATTGAGGACAAGAATAACCGCTTTGGGTTGATCAGAAAGCTAAGATAATTCACTTCATTATTTAAGATGAGCGGGCATCTGGGGAAACAGAATTAGTAATGCAAGATCTTAATTTTGTTTAACTTGGAATCCGAAATGATGAGCCAAGAACGATCTTTGAAGGTGCTGTTCAATTCTGCTTTACCTTCTAGCCAGAGATTTTTCAACTTCAAAAGGCAATTGGATAAAGAACTGAAAGTTAAACTTGAATTAACTTCTCCCATACTTTCAGGCAATGAATTCTGGATCATCATAACTTGCTGCGTAAAAGTAGTCTCATTTTGCCTCTGGTTCTTCTGCCAATTACTGTACACAAACATTTTGAAGTATTGTGTGGAGTACAGAATAAATTGTATGCCTGTAGTGGGCTGTTGTGATAGTTTAATATATAATTTATTGTTTTACTTTCCAACTGCTGCGTAATCTTGCATCATGATCATTCATGCTCAACAGAATGTCAAATTGCAAACTTTGTCAAAGTTTGTCATGTGCAATGAAGTCTTGTGTTTGTAATTGTTCCATGTAATGAAGAAATATGTAAGGCATTTTTATTTTGTTTGAAGCAAATACAGAATGTATGCAACCAAGATAATAGTTTGCACAATAATATGAGTTTTTAAGTAGTTATTTTTATGCATATGTTCTAGGTTACAAATTTTAGAACTTTAGATGGATTCTGCTTGTGGCTGTGTACAGAAGTTAATGTTCACAGACTTTAATTTTCATTGAAGACGTTTTTAAGTTATAAACTATTTTGTTAAAATATGTGTGACTGCTGTATCAGTGATCTTTTTTGTTGGCACAGCATCATTTTTTTAATCTGCTTAAGAAATCAGCTAATGTCTTTGGATTTTGAGACAGTACATCAGATTAAAATTTAGCTTTATGTACACATTGAGTTTGAAGTCTGTTAGATGGTGTGCTTTTGTTGGGTACAAAATAAATTGATTACTGAGCGTTGAATATATGTTATTTCCTTGATAGCTGGTTTGCCATATACCGTAACATCTGTTACATTGGAGTCAGTGTTGTTTCCACGTTGTAATAAAGGCATAGAAACATAGCACTTGTGCAAGTGTTTGAAAAATGGGATTGCAACTTCTAATTTTACAATTTGGAAGTTTATCTGAACTGTCTGGGAAGGGCCAGCAGAAAATGACAGCCCTCTATTGAGGTAGTAAAATTATAGCCATTAGCACTGATGGAAACAGTTTTTTTTAAAATGTTGATAACTGAGTTGCTGACACTGCAGCCTTGGAAAACTACCCTCTGGCAATCATAGTGCCCCATTTTATATTGAAATGCCACTGTCATAGTCAGTGCTACTGTTATGGCATCATCAATACCATTATCAAAATTTACGACTTACTCTGTTTTATTTTGTTATATTTTATGTAGGCCCTAGTATTCCTGTTAGGTGAGGGGAGTATGACAGTAAGGTAAAAATAGGACAATCTGGCAATTCTGGGGGTGTGGAGATCCAACTATAAATGTCCGAGTGAAACTTTTTTCCAATCTTGCCAACAATGGCAGACTTTCTAGCGCAGAAAGCCACTGTGTGGAAACTGGTTGTTTGAGTGAAGGTGTGGTGGGCAGTCCACTGCAGTTGTAATCCAAGAGCATTCTGGGGATTAGATCCATGATGTATTGCTGATCATAGTGGGGTGAAGAGATTCTGAAAGTGCATATCTGATCTTCTGGCTGCACAAGAATGCTGGGAAAAGACGTTTGCCTTCTTCAGCAGGCAATACTTACTAGCATTTAACAGTTTTCTCTCAAACAACCAGTTCCCACACAGCAGCTTTCTGCTAGAAAATGTGCCATTGTTGGCAAAATTGAAAAGAAGTTTCTGAGCACAAGGAAATTTGGCTGGCTGTTGCTAACTTTAAAGAAGACTTTTGACTGCATTGTGGGAACATAATTAAATTAATTACTTCCAAGCTTTGCAATTCTTCACCATTACAAGAATGACAATGGGTGTGTGTTAGGTGTTTGGGATATTTTTTTTAAGAGGGCTTCATCCTAACCCATCTGTGGGGTATTAATAGTTTATGTTCACTGACTATCCATTTATGCCATTTATGTCCTGAACACCTTTTTTCACTACAAAAGTAGTGATGTAGCTACCCTGAGACTGTTATTTGCTCACCAAGGGAAAGTGGTCTGTTGTGGTAGAATGACTGTGGTTTGAGTCTGGT